CAGACGGAGGACGGGCTGGTCTACTCCTTTGGCAACGGACCGCAGCTGGGCAGGCGCGCCACCCAGACCGACCCCACACCGCAGGCACGCCCCCGCCCGCCAATGCAGGCTTTTCCTGGCGGGCACAGACGCGCGCGCCCACAAACGGCAGGGTCGTGGCGGCGGTCGTGGCATGGTGGCATGGTGGTGTATAATGTGGCGGTGGCATGGGGTGCAGGTGATCGGGTTCTTTGAGAAGAGGCAGATCCAGGTGGTGCACGTGTCCGCTGGTTGGGACCACTCGCTCGCCTTGTCCCGTACCTTCACCGCTCCACTTCCCCAACAACAACAACAACCAACAACAACAACAACAACAACAACACACAACAACAACAACAACAACATGACGATGGATGTTGTGCCTATCATACAAGGGGAGGGCGAGCTGTGGGGCTGGGGCACCAGCCTCTACGACCAGTTGGGCTTCGGAGACTCTCTGCACGTCCTCGCCCCCAGGAAGATCCCCGTGCTGCCCCCCGGCCAACGGTGCCGCCCAAAGCCCCCCTCTCCGCTTTGCATGCGGCAGCCCACACAACACACGACACACAGCACGCACGCACGCACGCACGCACGCACGCACGCACCACACACACGCACACACGCGCGCGCACGCACTCTCTCTCGTTGCGAGCAGCTTAGTAACCACACAAGGGGGAGAACAGGGGGAGGGTGACGCACGCTGCCGCCGGCCTCACCCACAGCATTGCGGTAGTCGGTACCTGTTCCTCCCCCGCTCGCAGTGGCGAGATGTATATATGTACATCGGCGCTTACGGCATGGCTCCTCCGGCGTATCTGATCGATCTTTCTCCATAAAACTAAATAGATGGGTGGGAGGTGTGGGGCTGGGGTGACAACACGCGTCAGCAGCTTGGCCAGCTCGACGGAGCCAAGTGCGATTCCGCCCAGCTTGACCGACACGACGCCAATAGAATTGGAATTGGAATCTCACGTGTCGTGGTGGGTGGTGGCTGGTGGGTGGCTGGTGCACCTGCCCCAGGCGCCGGCCCACACCCGTGCGGCTGTACGTGCCTCAGCTCGACGCGGACGAAACGGTGACCCACCTCGACTGCGGGGCGTTCCACAGCGTCATCGCCACCAGTACGCTGTCCGTCACTCGTGTGCTCGTGGCCTGCCGCAGTCCTCACTGACCCTCCCTCTCTTTACCCCGGGAGGGGGGTCTACAACAGGCAAGGGGCGGGTGTGGTCGTGGGGCGCCGGCGACTGTGGTCAGCTGGGCGCGCGGCCCACCACCGCGGGCGGCAGCGCCGTGCTGGTGGCCTTTCCGCGGGAGGGAGGGACAGCCCTCCCCGCCGTCGACAAGCTGGTCTGCGGGGCCTACCACTCCTTCGTCCTCTCCACCGGTACGTGTCAGCCAATTGGCCAAGGTTCCCCGCCACCGCGATTGGGTGCTCACCACGACGGCCACCACCACCGCCGGCCTACAGACGGCGCACTTTATGGATGGGGTCAGGGCACCGACGGGCAGCTGGGAAGCGGGCGACGGCACAACGAGCTGACGCCGATCCGGGTGGCGCTCGCCGACGGCCAGCGCGTTACCGACGTAGGGGCCGGGTGGGGCCACTCGGTGTTCCTCACCACGCCCACTCGCCAGCTGAACGGTGTGCATCGCATACCGACGACAGCCAGCCTGGCTCCGCTGAGTGATGATGCCGGCCGGTGAGAGCTCAGTGGTCCTTGTAAAGAGGGTGTGTGTGTGTAATGAAAGGGCACCATTGGGTGCATACAGTTTCAGGGCGGGAAGGAGGGGAGGGGAGCAGAGGGCGAGGAAGAGCGTCGGGTGAGGCACTGGTCGAACCGCCGAAAGGAGGGCAGACACAGGAGGGGCACGCCGCCCACCAGACCGGCGCGCTCCCTCTCGCGGGTGTCCTCGTTGGTGGCCCTGCTGGTGAAGTCGAGACGATCGCCGCCCATGCACTGCCGCAGGGCCTTGGCCTCGTGCGGGCAGAAGGCCGCCACCACACACCACGCCACCAGAGCCTCGCTGACGCCACACGAACTCTGCTCTGCGCCCCCCTTGCCGGTGCGACAGCGGTAGTGCGCCTCCACCTCTCGCCCGCACGCTGGAAAGTCCCGCAGGACTGTCGTGCGCCATGCTCGCACCCTCCTCAGGTGGTGGGCCTCGTCCGCACCACCACCTTGGTGCGAGGCCGCGCCAGCCGCCGCTGCTCGTGCTGGGTCACCCTCCTCCTGGTCGCTCATGCCTTGTTTAGAAAAGAGAGGAAAAAATAAAAATAAAATAAATTTACAACAAGTGGCCGCCACGCGGGGTGTGCCGCTGTCAGTCGGACTTGGGCGCCTGCTTGTCCTTGATGAGGAAGAGCGTCTGCTCGAGGGCTATGAGCCACGAGATCTTTTCGTCCATGGTGCGCGTCATCAGCGTCTGATGAGGTGCGGTGGTGCATGGTGGGGTGGTGGTGGTCACCGGGGTTAGCGGGGGTTTTGCGGCTTTAGGGAGGAGGGTGCCACGTACGATGGATTGGTCGGCGCGGTCGCTGTGCAGACGGAAGACGCAGTCCACGTGCTCGTTGCCCACGTCTGGAAGAAGACAAAGAAAGAGAAGAGGAGGAGGAGGAGGAGGGGGGTTGTAGCAGGGCTGCGACATTGCGTATTTTCATTCATACGCGGCAACAACAGGAGAGCAGAGGTTTGGGGGGGGGTGTTGGTGCCTTTGACGTAGGGGTTGTGCTCGACGTGCACGGACGGGTTGAGGTAGATCATGAACTTGAGATGGTAGACCCCCGACGCCGGAATGTGCTTGGCCAGCAGGAACACGTCGGAGAACAGGAACACCGTACGCACTGCACCGCACCACCAGCCACCAGCCACCACCATTAGCCGCCACCACCACGCACACACACGCATCGCGAATCAGCGTGGCTGGTGGGGGGCGGGGACGGGCAGCACAGCCAAGGAGTCACCGGTACCCTTTTGTTTGTTGCGGCGCAGCTTCTTTTTGTCGTCGTACATGATGACCATGCCGGACCCCACGAACTCGCGATCGGGTTGCACGAACTCCTGCCCGGCGCCACAACAAGAAGAAATGGAACCCCCGCGCCAGTAAGAGGTGGCCGCGTGCTGGATCCAAGTGGGGGTGGGGGTGGGGTGGGGTGGGGGGAGATGGGCGGGTGTGTGCCTTGATGCGCGGGACCAGGAGGGAGTCGATCTTGCACACGGTGAGGTGGTTTTCGTACTTCTTGACTTGGTTGTTGATGTCCGTCGCGATCGTCGACATGAGATCGAGAGCCTATGCGGGGATGACGATGATATGGAACATGACGCATCAGCACGCGAGGCCAACACACCATTTGCCTGGACTTCCACGTGCGCGCGCGCGAGTGGTGGTACGGTGGCGGTTGGGGTGGTGGTGGTGGTGGTGGCGGCGGCGGCGGTGGTGGTGGTATAAGGCGCGCCGCGTACTTTGTTGAGCTGGTCGTAGTCGGGGTGCGAGCGAGGTGTGATCTTGATGAGCGCCTTGAGCAGGAGAATGTAGCGGGGAATACGCTGGATGGGCTGTTACGACCACACGACACACAGACACACACGACACACACGACGCATGTACACAACATAGAGCAAAAATGGATACGATACGATACGAGACATGAAATGAAGTGAGCACTGTCCCTGTGTAGGGAAGGGCAGGCACGATCTGGTGCGGGCGCGGGTGGGTACCATGATGAGGATGGCAGCAAAGTCGAGGAACCGGAAAGCTCGCGAACTCTCCTAAACGGCGGGGGGTGGGGTGAGTCACCCCTCTCTCGCCAAATGGAAGGGCGTGATGGACGACCACCAGCCACCAGCCACCACCAGCCACCACCACCACCAGCCACCACCACCACCAGAGGGGGAGGGAGAAGGGAGGAAGGGGGGGGTGCACACCTCGCTGAACTGCTGGAAGCGCTTGTTGGCCTTGGTCAGCTCCTGGAGGGCCTCGAGGGCCTCGTTGTAGTGGATGATGTACGGCACGTACACCGCAAAGCGCGGACCCTGGCAGCACGCCCACCACGACGACGATCAGACGGAAGACAGCAGCAGCAGCAGCAGCAGCAGCCACCCCCGCCAACGCCGGCTACGGCACCACTACAGCGACTCCCCATCAGCCGCCACGTGGGGGCGGGGCGGCAGGTACCAGGTCGAGGAAGACGTCGGAGAGCTCGCGGGAGACGTGCCAGGCGCCCGGAGCGACCTTAGCCTCGAGGCGAGCGGTGAGGATGCGCGCCAGCTCGATCATGTCCACCAGCTGGTCCTGCCAGATCACCTGATGGACCCCGTCGTCGTCGTCGTCGTCGTCGTCGTCGAAGAGGGGAAGAGAATTGGGGGGTCAGCCTGGCTTTGGGGGGGGGCCAAACGAAGAGCAGCGAAGAAACGAACGAACCTTGATCTTGTCGGCCTTGACCTTGGCCTTGGACTCCTCCTCGAGCTTCCGCCGGCACTCGTGGAGGTGGGCGAGGGCCTCCATGTAGTTCTTTTCCGTCGTGAAGATCTCGTAGGCAATCTTCTTACGCTCCTCTGCATCCCCGCCGCCGCCACGACAACAACGACACCGACAACGATGGCCCCCGAGGTGAGCATACGGGGGCGGCCGCGGGACACACAGGGCGGGAGTGGAGGGGCCGGGTACTGTGCTTGGAATAGCGCCTCCGAGCGAGCCGCCCTCTGACAGCAGTCTGAACCTTGACCACCTGTGTCGTGTGAGCGTGTGCGTGTGCGTGTGAGTGTGCGTCGTGTGTGTGTGTGTGTGTGTGTGTGGCACACGACGGCACAGTGACGATGACGTGACCATGCCCCCGTGAGGATGCCATCATCGGGTGGGCGATTGGTGGTCCGCTCTCGTAGCCGCGAGGCGACGCGAGGCTTAGTGGCTGCTGGTGGCTGGTTGGAATACGTACGAGGGGGATGCGTGCGCGGTACCAGCCCTCATCGTAGGTGGCCGGTAGCGTAAAGTCTCTGATGTGCGTGCGTGCGTGGCCAGGAGGAACGGGGAGGTCAGGGTGGCGTCGATCCGTCACGGACCACTGATGGGCGGTGATTGGGTGGTGCGAGTGCGTACGTGATGACGGGCTTCAGCATCTGCAGTTCCTTCTCCTCGCGGCGCTGCCGGTCGTTGACCTGGAAGTCCGAGGGCAACTCGGGGAAGGGCACCTTGCTACACACACATCACGCACGCACGCACGTACACACACACACGCACACACGCACACACGCGCGGTCCCACATCACCGCCACCGCCACCACCAAGTTTAGCTCCGCGTTGTCTACAAAAAACAAAACAAAATCAAAAAAACAGAAACGGAGGCGCACTCGATGTTCTTGGCGAAGAAAGTGTCCTTGCCCACGAACACGAGCGTATCGGCGCGATTCTGAATGCGCTCCTTGAGGCGGCTACGCAAGTTCTTCCCTCGCGGCGCCTCCTGCTGTGCCCACGCACGCACGTCCGTGGAAACAGTGTGAGTGTGAGTGGGTGAGAGGCTCCCTCGACAGCCCCACGCCCATCCTGGCGCGAGCTGCCCGGGCCGGCTTTGGACCGCGAACGTCTGGAGGGGGGAATACCACAGGTGATCCCGTCGCCAAGGCTACACACACGACACACACACACACACACACACACACACACACACACACACACACACACACACACACACACACACACACACACGACAGTGCGAGAGGTGCAAGGCACGATCAGGTGGCTGGTGGTGGCTGGTGGCTGGGTGGTGGCGGGTGGTGCCCGGTGTGCGCATACCGGTGGCGGGCGGAGAGCCCGAGATTTCGATGTCGGCGATGCGGAAGCCGGTCTCGAGCGAGGGCTTGGGCGGTGGTACTGGAGCGGCGACGACGGGGGCCACCGCCGGTTCGTCGGCCTCGGTTTCGGACTCCTCCTCGGCAGCCGATGATGCGGAGGCGGTGTCCTCGTCCTCCGTTTCGGTGGCACTCTCCCGGTCGCTCTCTTCGGCGCCCCTGTCGGCGCGTTCCTGCGTGTCTTCTTGGCCGTGGCGCCCTTCTTCTTCTTCTTGGCCCCGCCCGTGCGGTCCACCTCCGCGCCGCTGCTGCTGGACTTGCGGGTCTTCTTGGTCTTTCCCTTCTTCGCCCGGCTGGTCTCCACCGCGTCGTCCTCCTCGTTTTCTTCCGCGTCCGACGCCAGGGTCCTTCGCCTTCGCCTTGCTGCTGCCGCTGCCGCTGCTGCTCCTCTTCCGCTCGTGTCGCTCCTTCTCCTGCTCCTGCTCCTCGGCGGCATCCCGCCTTTCCTTCTCCCGGCGCTGTCGCCGCTTCTCCTCGGCCTCGGCCTCCTTTTGCTGCTTCTCTGCCGCCTCCTCCCCTGCTGCTGCTGCTGCTGCTGCTGCTGCTGCTGCTGCTGCTGCTGCTGGGCCTTCTTCCGCGCAGCTTTCTTGCGCTCCGCCTCTGCCTCCTCCGCCTCCTTTTGCTGCTGCTGCTGTCGCCGCCGCATCTTCTTCTTTCGCTCCCGCTCCTTCTCCGCTTCTTCCTCCTCCTCCTCCTCCTCCCGCTCCCGGCGCCGCTGCTGCCGTTCTGCCTCCCGCTCCTTTTCCTCTTCCTTGCGCCGGGCCTCCTCGCGCTCCCGCTCCCGCTCCCGCTCGAGCCGTTCCTCCTGGCGGCGGCGCCTGTCGATCTCCTCCTGCCGGCGCCGCTTCTCCTCCAGGTCGCGGGCCTTCTCCTCGGCCCACCGCTTCCTGTCGAGCTCCCGCTCCTTCTCCCGAGCCTCGCGCTCCACCTTTTCCCGCAACGCCCTCTCCTGCTCGCTCTCTTCCTCACCGTCCTCGTCGTCGTCGTCGTTGTCGTCGTCATCCTCTGCGGCTGGGTCCTCGTCGTCGTCCTGGTCGTGGTCGTCGAGGTGGTGGGTCTCGGGCTCAGCAGAGAAGGACGAGGCGCGTGCGAGGGAGCGTGCGGCGTCCGGGTGGCGCTGGTAGTAGAGGAGGTCGAGGTCGCGGGCCTGGCGCCTGATGAGGGCGAGGTCGCCCCGCATCTCCTTGAGGTGCTGCCTCAGGTAGAGGCCCGCCTTGTTCCGCTCCAGCGGGTTGACGCCCATCCGACGCGACTTGCGTCGCAGCAGCACCTCGTCGGCACCGACGTCCGCCCGCTTGGGGGCGGGCCGCTCGCGGGCAGTCGGGCCGACCGCGGAGGGACGGCCGGCGAGGGACGAGGCGGCGGCCGGGAAATGGCGGCACACCGGGCAATCGGGGGCCGGGCGCCGACTGGCGTGCCTACAGAACCGGCAGCACCACCCGCCCCGCCGCCGCCCCTGCCCCTGCTGCTTCTGCTGCTGCTGGCCGCTGATGTCGTGCCTGCGGTAGAAGCGGCGGGCGAAGGCCGCCTCCGCAGCGCGGACACCATCGGAGCTCTCCACCACCCGACCCGACCGTCGGGGCTGGGACACCGAGGGAAAGGGGTCCGCGCTGGAGGAACTGGAGCTGGCGGAGGAGAAGGAGGAGGCACCCACTCGTACGCCGAGCGACGGATGCAGCAGCCGCCAAAGATCTGCGATCGTGCCGGCCTCCTCCAGCAGCGGATGCGCCTCCGCCTTGAGCCGGCAACCACACGACATCACACACACACACACACACACGCACAACGTCACACCCAACCACCATCAAGTCCCAGTCAGAGGCAGTGGGCGCGCGCATGCACGGGTGCCAAAAGCAAAGCGATCCTTTGTTGTTTGGGGGGGGGGAGTGGTGGTGGTGGTGGGTACCTCTTTTCGGCGAGACCTCCGCGCTTGCTCAGCACGTCGCCCCACCGGTCGTCGTCGGCCTGCTGCTGCCGCTGCTCCTGCTCCTGCTCCTCCAGCTCCTCCCCGTGGGGCGTCCTCGTCCTCCTCGCCGTCCTGCTCCGCCTCGGCTCTGTACATAGGATGGGATGCGGGCGGGCAAGTATGGGGGGGGGTAGAAATACGCTTACGGGTGAGCGCACACCCAACACCACGGCCGCCGCCGACAACGCTTGCATGCCAGGTTGGTGGGTTGGTGGGTTGGTGGGTT